TGAAGTCAAGAATTTTATTAGCTTTATTGTGAACACACTTGCACTGTTTGTTGGATAACTAGCAGTTATATTTCAAGTCCTCTAGCCTGCCACTTGACTGATATGAAAACTTACTGCTAATGTGTGAATTGTATGCTAGGAAGGGGCTTAAGGTCTCCATTGGAAGAGTTTCACATTTTCCTTGATGCCAGTGAAGGGTTCTTGATCCAAGGAATTAATTGCTTCCTTGGATTGAACCTGATTGCTTTCCAAGAAATAAAAAAAAATTCACAGCTTGTTTCTTGGGTCATTGAGCACCTTTGGCTAACCTGAGCAAAGTTTTTGGCCCATACTATATGCCAGTATTCCATCTACATCTATTCTAATTTTGTATATAAGTTGGAATTTGTCGAATTTGAACAAGTATTTGAATGTGGAATGAAATTGCTAGTAGTAAATTGCACTGAGACTGCTAACTTTGCACCTGCATAATTCCATAAGTTTTCCCACCAAATTTTGTACTTTTAGTGTCATTACCTTCAGATTCTACCACTCCAAAAGAAAACATTTTTGTGGAAAATTTTTTGACATTGAGAACAAGTGATAGGGTTAATAAACTTTTGTATGCAGTTTTAATGTGCCTTTTTTGAAAGGGTTGAATTTTACAGCTAGGAGTATTTGCCAAATTATTATTAGTGCTTCTGTATTCTGCTGAGCTTTTAATTTTTTTTCAGACAAGTCACTGATCTTGTGGAAGCTAACTCGTGAGGAGAATCACTACGGTATACCCCAGAAGCGTCTTCACGGACATTCCCATTTTATATCTGATGTGGTACGTACATGGTTTACATTTACAAAATTTGAAGTAATAATTGCTAGTGCTTCAGTGAATTATTTCATGTCATATAAAATTAATATTACAGGTATTATCTTTGGATGGACACTTTGCCCTGTCTGGTTCCTGGGACAAGACATTACGCCTTTGGGACTTAGCTGCTGGCAAGACTACAAGGCGCTTTGAGGACCACACTAAGGTCTGAACCTGCCGTTCTCATCTGACCAGAACCTCATTCTTCAAAAAAAAATATAACAGGAAGCTTTTTTGTTTAAAACTTTTTTTTAGTAGATGGAAGAGGACACCTGAGACTTGGTGAGTACATGATCAGTCTTAAATAGGCAGGATACCGGATACATGATCAGTCTTAAATAGGCAGGGTACAAGATACCACTTGGATACCGAAGATACACAATTCCTAACATCTCTGTGGCTCATCTTTGACTAACTACTGGTGGTGTCCCTGAGTTCCTGATTCTTGCTTTTTAAACAGCCTATCCCTATCTACCTCATCAGTTCCCCTGAGAATTTTGTTACATTATCCCTGGTTCTAATATCTTCCAATGTTGTTGGGTCCAGTGCTGTTAACCTCTCGTCATAGCTTGTGTCCCTTAATTAGGCAGCAAGCTTTGGTCCATACGTATGCATTCTCTCCAGTGTAACATGTATTTTCTGATGTGGGTTCCATACTGGTGCCTATTCCAAGATGGGTCTAATATTGTAAAGGGCCTGGAAAGACTGCTGAGATTGCTGAAGACAACTCTTAGATTTGCCAGATGAGCATGTTGCAAAGGTTATTCAGCCAATGTGAACCTCTGGTGAACCTAGGTCTTTCTTTTTGAGTGAAGTCTGTATCCTGTCCCTTATTCTATACCTAGCTTCTGGTCTTGTTCCTTCTTCAGTCTTCGACTTCTCATTTACTGGGGTTGAATACTGGCAACCACTCAATTGACCACTCTTGCAATTAGTGCAGATCCCTTTGGAGGCTTTCATTGTCCTCATCTGTTCTTATTTCCATAAATTTTAAATCTGCATACGGGAATATATATGAATCGTTTCCTTTTGGAATGTCATTTACATAAATACTATATTGGTCTTAATACCAATCCTTGTGAAAACTGCTAGCTACTCTTAACCTATTTTGACATCTATCCTGATGGATACTCTTTTATCTTCTGGTGTATATTTCCTGCTGATTCCTGCCTCACTCAAGCTTTTGGTCTAGCATCTTGTGTAATTTCAAGCACATGCATTTTAAAAAAATGCAATCTGCCCAGCCCTCTTTTGTTGCACATTTGTTCCTTTGGCATGGGACTGCACCAAGTTAGCAAGATGAGATTTACCATCCATAAACCTTTACTGGTTATTGTTAATGAAACCACTTCTCTTAGTGTTCTACTTTCCCTGATAAGTTTCTCCACTATCCTGCAAGGTATGCATGTTGGAGAAACAGGTCTAGTTTAATGCTTCCTGTATGACCCCCTACAGATTTAGTGCACTCCGTATGATAAAAATACCATACTGTACAGTATACATACCATGTGTATTTGGCTTAATACTTTCGATATGACCTAATTTAAGGCAGTCATATTGTAAATGGAATGATTCTGCTTAAACATTGTGAGGACATTCCCAATAATAAAAAAAAAAAATAGGTTTTTCCCCCATGTACTTGATAATGCAAAATAACTATGGTTTATAAATATTTGTGTTACAGGATGTGCTCTCTGTTGCATTCAGTGCTGACAACCGTCAGATTGTGTCTGGATCTCGAGACAAGACAATAAAAGTGAGTTCAACTTTTAAATTGCTAAAAATGGCACTGTAATGTACTGGCATTATTTATTAGTTTTGGTCATTTTGAACATGTGACATATTTTACCCTTTTTACTGATTAAAATAATTTTGCTCTTCTAATTCAATTTTTTCATACCTGATTTTCTTCTCATAAAAAGACAAAGAACTTTGTCCTTGGAGGCAAAGAGGGGAATGTATGAGAGTATAGTTTTACCAACGCTCTTATATGGGTGTGAAGCGTGGGTGATGAATGTTGCAGCGAGGAGAAGGCTGGAGGCAGTGGAGATGTCATGTCTGAGGGCAATGTGTGGTGTGAATATAATGCAGAGAATTCGTAGTTTGGAAGTTAGGAGGAGGTGCGGGATTACCAAAACTGTTGTCCAGAGGGCTGAGGAAGGGTTGTTGAGGTGGTTCGGACATGTAGAGAGAATGGAGCGAAACAGAATGACTTCAAGAGTGTATCAGTCTGTAGTGGAAGGAAGGCGGGGTAGGGGTCGGCCTAGGAAGGGTTGGAGGGAGGGGGTAAAGGAGGTTTTGTGTGCGAGGGGCTTGGACTTCCAGCAGGCATGCGTGAGCGTGTTTGATAGGAGTGAATGGAGACAAATGGTTTTTAATACTTGACGTGCTGTTGGAGTGTGAGCAAAGTAACATTTATGAAGGGATTCAGGGAAACCGGCAGGCCGGACTTGAGTCCTGGAGATGGGAAGTACAGTGCCTGCACTCTGAAGGAGGGGTGTTAATGTTGCAGTTTAAAAACTGTAGTGTAAAGCACCCTTCTGGCAAGACAGTGATGGAGTGAATGATGGTGAAAGTTTTTCTTTTTCGGGCCACCCTGCCTTGGTGGGAATCGGCCGGTGTGATAATAAAAAAAAAAAAAAAGTTAATAAAAGTCAGCCCTTCCTCAAAAATGCAAGTAATATTCTGTGTTAGGGGATAAGTTTACTGGTAATTAAGAGGTTCTCTACCATTTTTTTTTTTTAATCCCAACATTATCAGCAAATTTTAATTTTTGGGGTTCCTGACAGTGAAAGGGTTAAAGACAGTCACAATTTGTTGACTAAAAGATCACACTGTGGCACTATTTTTTGACACTTCAGAAGATATGGAAATTAAGAATCATAGCAAAAATATGATCATAAACTGAGATGATGAATATCATAGAAGATATATCATAGGACAAGATATATAGCCTGCTCTAATTAACCCTTTCAGGGTCCAAGGCCCAAATCTGGAGTCACGCACCAGTGTCCAAGAATTTTCAAAAAAAAAAATTTTTATTTTTTCTTATGAAATCGTAGAGAATCTTTTTGTGAAGGTAATAAAACAAAAAGTACGAAATTTGGTGGAAAATTGATGAAATTATGCTCTCGCGAATTCTGATGTGTCAGCGACATTTACGAATCGGCGATTTTGCCGACTTTGACTCCCATTTTAGGCCAATTACATTATTCCAATCAACCAAATTCTTAGCTATTTCACTAGTATTACTTCTATTCTATCGATTGAGCACAAGAAATCGCCAAGTCAACTGTTTCAACTACAAAATAAAGTGATTGGAAATTGTTAATTTGGCCAATTTAACACAAAGTTCAAAATATTCCAATTTCAAAATTTGGGTCCAGAATAAACAATGTAGGCATTCCTGGCACTAAACTAACATTTCCTCTGTTCATTAGTTATGTTTTTGAAGCTTTACAAATAAATTCCATTTTGATTTTTTATTCACATAATGAATTTTTATTCACACCAAAAAATAGAAGATTTACTGTTATGCAATACTGTAATAATTGTATAAATATCATCACCTTTTTTGTGAATGTATATTAGACCACCAGCTGATGTGTATTAGACGTGTGAGTTCGTTTGTTTACTCTTGAATATCGGCAAAAATTTAACATTTCCGCTACTTTGAGCTCAGTTTCAAGCCATTTCCAGTGCTAAAACCAATCAAAATCATCTCTATTTCTGTAATATGTTTCCATTCTATCAAATGAGACCAAGAAATCGCAAATACAACTATAAAAAACATACGAAAAAATACTGCAAAGTTGCTGTTTTAATCGAAAAATCATGATTTAAGTTTTTTCTCTCATTATACACAGTGTGCTGCAGGATCTGTTTTATGTGGTGCACACATACCACATAGATGTATTCTCTCATATCTAGGCCCAAATGTGCCACTCACAGTTTATCAGAGTTAGCTGAGCTCATGGCGTAGATCTACGGTTTGGACCCTGAACGTAAAGCCGTAGATCTACGGGACAGACCCTGAAAGGGTTAAAAGTGCCTCATACTGCAATCAAAGCATAACCTTGTGATTTTTTTTTTTCCCACCGAGGCAGGGTGACCCAAAAAGAAAAAAAAAATCCCCAAAAAGAAAATACTTCAATCATCATTCAACACTTTCACCTCACTCACACATAATCACTGTTTTTGCAGAGGTGCTCAGAACACGACAGTTTAGAAGCATATACGTATAAAGATACACAACATATCCCTCCAATCTGCTAATATCCCAAACCCCTCCTTTAGAGTGCAGGCATTGTACTTCCCATTTCCAGGACTCGAGTCCGGTTATTTTTATATAGCCGGACTTGAGTCTTGGAAATGGGAAGTACAATGCCTACACTCTGAAGGAGGGGTTTGGGATATTAGCAGTTTGGAGGGATATGTTGTGTATCTTTATACGTATATGCTTCTAAATTGTTGTGTTCTGAGCACCTCTGCAAAAACAGTGATTATGTGTGAGTGAGGTGAAAGTGTTGAATGATGTTGAAAATATTTTCTTTTTGGGGATTTTCTTACTTTTTGGGTCACCCTGCCTCGGTGGGAGACGGCCGACTTGCTGAAAAAAAAAAAAAACAAGGTTATGCTTTGGTTGCAGTATGAGGCACTTTTAATTAGAGCAGGCTATATATTTTGTCCTATGATATATCTTCTATGATATTCATCATCTCAGTTTATGATCATATTTTTGCGATGATTCTTAATTTCCATCCCTCCACAAGTGTCAAAATATAGTGCCACAATCATATTTAACTTGTCTTCCTTTGTACCCACATTACACTGGGAGTCATTAGCACTATCCTTCTTAGGATCCATGGCTAACACACACTGTAAAGGAATAATCGCAAAAATAATAGAGAAAGGCAAAACAAGCACATGATCGCAGCATAGGCAGAAATTCTTATGGCATCACCCTTATTTTGAATGAGAACCAGCAGCAATGCTGCCATGGACATTTGTTTACAATTTTTCAATTTAAATATTGTTGTATATAGTATACATTTTTTTAATGTTTTTTTATTGTATTTTAAGTTTTTTAGCTTTTATTTTTAGCTTTTATTGTTAATTTTTATTTATTTTAAATATTTTTAAGAAAATTTTTTTTCATGTCCTTTTATTATAATGTAGGTGATGCTGCTGAGTGACACAGTTGGACGTATTGTTGTTCACTGAACTAGAAAAGTGGTGTAAAGGTAAATTTGACATAAGCCGAAATAATGTAAAGTGGGGTATGATTGTATTGCCAGGAATATAATTGGTCGTGATTTAGGGTGTCCTAATAATTGAAGCAGATTTAGTAAAGTCCCATAAAACCGATTTGGGCAGGGAGGGGGCCATACCCTTTCTCAACAAATTGTCAAAAATCTAATGTTTCCACTATGGCCCATTTAAAGTGACTTTTGGTCCTGAAACTGACCAAAATAACTTTCAGTAGTGTCTTCCATTCTATCAGTTGATACCAAGAAACAGCCAGTCACTATTTTAAACCAAACACAAGGTCAGAGGTTTGCTTTTTCTCTATAATTCACATATGTTGCAGGAAATTTTTTTTTATACTGTGCACACAAACCTGTTCTCTTATGTCTAGGCTAAAATTAACATTTCATCTTAGACCTACATGAACGACACTGACATCAATGACAGATGTATGTAGGAGACTGTGAAAAGGTTAAATCTGCTAGTTTACATTAAAAGGCAGGCTTTTCATCTTTTCTCCATCTTTCCTGGATGGGGGGGAGGGATAACCACAGTAACCCAAGCAAGCCTGTAAAACAGACTAGTGCATTTGCTAATAAAGATTTCTTGTAAGAAATAATCTTAAATTTTTTCAGTTGTGGAATACACTGGCTCAGTGCAAGTACACCATACAGGAGGATGGCCACTCTGATTGGGTCTCATGTGTGAGATTCTCTCCTTCAAATAGCAACCCCATTATTGTCTCATGTGGATGGGATAAGGCAGTGAAGGTATGTTGTATTACTGTACTTAAAATTGGAATGTAAATGAAGCTTGAAGTTGCCATATTTTAAACTTGATGAGAACTTTTATCTGAATCTTGATGTAATATTATGTGGATATGGGGCTGAAGACGACTCTCTTTAGCATTGCACAAAGTATACCTGCACATTCTAATATATAAATTCCCAGGTATGGAGCTTGACAAACTGCAAACTCAAGACTAACCACTATGGTCATGCTGGATACTTGAATACAGTAACTGTCTCACCTGATGGCTCCTTGTGTGCTTCAGGTGGCAAGGTAGGTTTTTTAAAAAATAAAAAAGTTTATTGAATGCTTCATTTTTCTAATTACCATTTGGGTTTTTCAGTGACTAAGAGCATTGACTTTGTAGTTTTAGGGCTAAGGCATGTTTTCAATCCCAACCACCACCTTGCTTAGTAATATTCATTGGTAAAGTTAGTACAATGCCTGCACCTTAAAGGAGGGTTTTGGGATATTGGCAGTTTGGAGGGGTATGTTATATATGCTTCTAAACTGTTGTATCTGAGTGCCTCTGTAAAGATGGTGATTGTGTGAGTGAGGTGAGTTGAATGATGAAAGTATTTTCTTTTTGGGGATGTTCTTTCTTTTTGGGTCGCCCTGCCTTGGTGGGAGATGGCTGACTCGTTGAAAAAAAAAAAATTGCTTCCCATGTCAAAGTACAGTGGTACCTCGAGTTATGAACTTAATTCATTCCAGAAGGCAGTTTGAATGTCGATACTGAATGAATTTGTTCCCATAAGGAATGTAAATTAGATTAGTCAGTTTCGGACCCCCAAAAATACACTTAAAAACAGCACTTACGTAATTGTTCGAGTTGGGAGCTGTTCGAAACTCGAGGTATCACTGTATATCTACGTGAAGTTTTGTTAAAGATGCAAACCATATGTTAAATATCCTCGTATTTTAATTTGGTATATTTTTTTTAAATGACTACTGATCTTTTCTTTGTTTTACATGAATGGTCTTTGCTGTTTAGGAGAGAAGCCTAGCAAACTTTGTTTTAGGGTTTTTGAGGGAGGTTCTTTGATACTGGTTAGGGCTCTTGTTACATGGATCAAGCTTATTTGCCTTGTATTCCTTAGGAGTTGTATAATTACAAATTTAGCAACTCCCCCTCCCTTCAAAGTGTAATTGAGGGCTCCACATTGATGTGTAAATTAACTAATAGATTTCAGTTAAAAGGTTAGCTTTAACCCTTTCACTGTCGGTCCCGTAATGCTACGCCAAAATTCTAGCAGCTTCAGATCTAGCAGGAGAAAGCTGGTGGGCCTGCATGTGAGAGAATGGGTCTGTGTGCTCGGTGTGCACAGTATAAATAAAATCAGGGAGCCAGTGGTGCATTGTGGGAATGTAGTTTCAGTATGCTTTGTTCACCATGCCTCGCGGTAAGAAATACTTCACTCCCTGGCGTATTGGGACTCTTCTCTTCCCGAGTGATAGTTGTAACACAGATTGAAGTGTCAGTGAAGATGAATCTCATGGTTTTGAGGAGTTTGACCGAAAACAATGCCCAGGATACCAGAAATGGTGCTGAAAACCCAGACTCGTCAACCTTCCACCATCTCTTGGTGCTGGGCCATCTCATTCATGTTCACTTGTCCCATAGTGAAAGAGGAAACTTGTATTTTCCCATGTCTCAAAGAATAAGTAAGTTTATTCAGGTATACACAGATACAGATGTTGCAAGTGTATGGTGTAGGAGGTAGGTTACTGAAAGCAGTGAAGAGTTTTTACGAGGATAGTGAGGCTCAAGTTAGAGTATGTAGGAAAGAGGGAAATTTTTTCCCAGTAAAAGTAGGCCTTAGACAAGGGAGTGTGGTTGTTTAATATATTTATAGATGGGGTTGTAAGAGAAGTAAATGCGAGGGTCTTGGCAAGAGGCGTGGAGTTAAAAGATAAAGAATCACACACAAAGTGGGAGTTGTCACAGCTGCTCTTTGCTGATGACACTGTGCTCTTGGGAGATTCTGAAGAGAAGTTGCAGAGATTGGTGGATGAATTTGGTAGGGTGTGCAAAAGAAGAAAATTAAAGGTGAATACAGGAAAGAGTAAGGTTATGAGGATAACAAAAAGATTAGGTGATGAAAGATTGAATATCAGATTGGAGGGAGAGAGTATGGAGGAGGTGAACGTATTCAGATATTTGGGAGTGGACGTGTCAGCGGATGGGTCTATGAAAGATGAGGTGAATCATAGAATTGATGAGGGAAAAAGAGTGAGTGGTGCACTTAGGAGTCTGTGGAGACAAAGAACTTTGTCCTTGGAGGCAAAGAGGGGAATGTATGAGAGTATAGTTTTACCAACGCTCTTATATGGGTGTGAAGCATGGGTGATGAATGTTGCAGCGAGGAGAAGGCTGGAGGCAGTGGAGATGTCATGTCTGAGGGCAATGTGTGGTGTGAATATAATGCAGAGAATTCGTAGTTTGGAAGTTAGGAGGAGGTGCGGGATTACCAAAACTGTTGTCCAGAGGGCTGAGGAAGGGTTGTTGAGGTGGTTCGGACATGTAGAGAGAATGGAGCGAAACAGAATGACTTCAAGAGTGTATCAGTCTGTAGTGGAAGGAAGGCGGGGTAGGGGTCGGCCTAGGAAGGGTTGGAGGGAGGGGGTAAAGGAGGTTTTGTGTGCGAGGGGCTTGGACTTCCAGCAGGCATGCGTGAGCGTGTTTGATAGGAGTGAATGGAGACAAATGGTTTTTAATACTTGACGTGCTGTTGGAGTGTGAGCAAAGTAACATTTATGAAGGGATTCAAGGAAACCGGCAGGCCGGACTTGAGTCCTGGAGATGGGAAGTACAGTGCCTGCACTCTGAAGGAGGGGTGTTAATGTTGCAGTTTAAAAACTGTAGTGTAAAGCACCCTTCTGGCAAGACAGTGATGGAGTGAATGATGGTGAAAGTTTTTCTTTTTCGGGCCACCCTGCCTTGGTGGGAGTCGGCCGGTGTGATAATTATAAAAAAAAAAAAAAAACAGATACAGTTACATAGATTATCATGGTTTAGAAAGACACGTAAGCAAACACTATAACATATTTATTAGAAAACGTTTCGGTCCTGGAACCTTGATCACTTCTAACATACAGAGGTAGAAAGACATTATATATATAGGCGGAGAGTGAGATGTGACGCACGTGACCTGAGGAATGTCATAAGAACATAAGAATGGAGGAACACTGTAGAAGGCCTACTGGCCCATGCGAGGCGAGGGTAGACGATGAAATCACGTGACTCCTGTGTTGTTGGGTTGGTGCTGCTTAAGTATCATGTATGCCAATGTTTTTGAAATTTTGTAGTTTCCAGTGTTGCGTTCTATAGTGTCGGTGACGGTGATTAGTGAGGCTTCTAGGCACCGTTGGCGTCTGAGGTCTGGTTCGGTGAGAACGAGTTGTGCCTCGTTCCAGTTCATCAAATGCCCCGTGGAGTCTCTGTGGAGGACACAGGCGTACCTTACATCGTCTCTGTTAGAGGCATTTCGATGCTCATTCAGGCGGACTGCAAGATCTCTGCCTGTCTCGCCTACATATTTCTTGGGACAGAACCCACAGGGGATAGTGTAGACGCCTGCTGTAGAAGTTAGAGGTGTGGGGCTGCGTTTAGTAGTGAGGTCTTTGATAGAGGATGTGTTTATGGTGGAAACGTTGATGTTACTCATACCAAGTGCCCGGCGAGTATTCGTGGCAACATCGCCACATGGAAGTACTATGAACTGTTTAGGGGGCTGTTCCATGGGCGGTTTGTTGAGGATAGCTTGTGCCTTGAGTCTTATGACATTCCTCAGGTCACGTGCGTCACATCTCACTCTCCGCCTATATATATAATGTCTTTCTACCTCTGTATGTTAGAAGTGATCAAGGTTCCAGGACCGAAACGTTTTCTAATAAATATGTTATAGTGTTTGCTTACGTGTCTTTCTAAACCAACTTGTCGGTATTTATTACCAAGGTTTATACCATAGATTATCATACATAGCAGCATATGTGTAGATTACCTAGGGTAACCCAAAAATGTCAAAGCGACTTATTTCCATGTAGGTGGTTGGGAAGGCAGTGTGGGTTTGTATAAAGAAGTTTTGTGAACAGTACATAATAACAATATTTGGGCAGTTATTGTGTTGCTGACAACGAGTGGATATATATATACGTTATGAATTATATTGATGTCGCAGGCCACAAAAGTTACTTGAAAAGATAAAATATTAGAAAAGAATAAAATTAAAGTAAAAATAACATTTACGAGGGAGTGGCAGTTGCTGATGTTGCTGTAAGAGGTTCACTCTAAACTTCATGCCTCTATATCTCAGTAAGTACTGATCACATTTTTTTTTTTTTTCTAACAAAGATATTCTTAAGATTTTGGTAAGAAATTTTTTCTTCGAATATTTTTAGACACTTACGAGCAAGTTTGTGATCAGGGGCTTCGATAGTGAAAGGGTTAAATAGTTTCTGAATGCCATCCTTGTATAAAGAGGTTAGTACAGTGGACCCCCGGTTAACGATATTTTTTCACTCCAGAAGTATGTTCAGGTGCCAGTACTGACCGAATTTGTTCCCATAAGGAATATTGTGAAGTAGATTAGTCCATTTCAGACCCCCAAACATACATGTACAAACGCACTTATATAAATACACTTACATAATTGGTCGCATTCGGAGGTAATCGTTATGCGGGGGTCCACTGTATATACTGTTGAACTCGTGTGCTAGAGGGGTCAGGTGTGGGTTAATGGTTAGTTTAATTTGCAAATATGCACTTGCATGATGAACATACATTAACATGTAATCAGGCATCCCCAATTCAAGAACCCCTATTTTGTGGCATGGTCTGTGGGCTTGTGCTGTGACTAAATGGCATTATCAGAGTAGGAAGGATTGTACAGTACATCTAAATAGAGATGCCCAGTATTTCTTGACAGTTTAGTTCCCTATTTTCCATTTTAGTAACATTGAAGTAACTTTTTTTTTATGCATTCACTAATTTAAAATTATTTTTTTCCAGGATGCCAAGGCCATGCTTTGGGACTTGAATGATGACAAGCACCTTTACACATTGGATCATACTGACACGATAAACTCTTTGTGCTTCAGTCCCAACCGTTACTGGTTGTGTGCTGCTACAGGACCCTCTATTAAGATTTGGGTAATTATAAATTTTCAGTTTGATACTATTATGACTGAGCATATTATCAAAGTAAAAATTGAAAGGGGTATTTTCATGTCTGCTTCTGTAGTGAGTGCCAGTTTGGCATAGTAGGTAATAGTAGTGGACTTGCAAATGCAAGGCTGGCAGTTTGGTCACAGTATTTAAATATTTGATAATGAATTTTTACAAGAGGTATATGAATTTGAAATGTTCCTCATTGCAGGACCTTGAAGGTAAAAATATGGTTGATGAATTGAAGCCTGATGTGATCACTCAGAACCCCAAAGCTGAACCACCACAATGTCTCTCCATGGCTTGGTCCGCTGATGGCCAAACCTTGTTTGCTGGTTATAGTGATAGCAAGATTCGTGTCTGGCAAGTCAGTGTCACTTCTCGTGCATAAACTGAAGCAAATAAACTTTGCTGGTATAAATGTATTTTTCTTTAAAAGTCCCATTTTAATAGGAAATGCTGTTTGAGGAATGACAGGTGATGCTGAAGTCAAAACAGTTGACAGTACAACCCTCAAGGAAGGTGTCTTGATCAAAAACTTACTTCTACACTCAAATGGCTTAAATTTTAACGCTATACATTTCCCAGGATTGCAAGAGCCCCACGGGTTTGGTGCTTCCTAGTTAATATAAAAATCTAAGTGATGATTTTTGCCTCTCTTGGATTTAATTAAATTGCTTCCAGTTCTCTAGGTACTTAAAACCCTGCTATGGATTAGTGCTTCTTGTTATCCAAAATGTATTGTGGATTTAACACTTAAGTACTGTATGGCCCTGGTGGGTTTAGCTCTTATTAAAACTAAGTGCTTTTTTGTGAATGTGGTAATAACCATAATAAAACTTCGTTCAACAGTCAATTGAAAGAAATTTGAAACTTTGTAATGCTGTATGCAACTTTAGTAAGGACATTGAATATAAGAATATTTATATAATCTGGAAAGCACTATTTGCATATCTATAATACAATCATTTCTTGGGTTTAGTGCTTAATTTCATTATTGTACTTTCATTTCTAAGTGTTTTAGTGCTTAGATTTTTTTTTTTTTTAACAAGTCTGCCGTCTCCCACCGAGACAGGGTGACCCAAAAAGAAAAAAAAAAAAAAATATCCCCAAAAAGAAAATACTTTCATCATTCAATGCTTTCACCTCACTCTCACATAATCACTGCTTTTGCAGAGGTGCCCAGAATACAACAGTTTAGAAGTTTTTTTTTTTCAACAAGTCGGCAGTCTCCCACCGAGACAGGGTGACCCAAAAAGAAAGAAAAAAAAAATCCCCCAAAAGAAAATACTTTCATCATAATTCAACACTTTCACCACACTCGCACATTATCACTGTTTTTGCAGAGGTGCTCAGAATACGTATAGAGTATATACGTATAAAGATACACAACATGTCCCTCCAAACTGCTAATATCCCAAACCCCTCCTTTCAAGTGCAGGCATTGTACTTCCCATTTCCAGGACTCAAGTCTGGCTATATAAAATAACCAGTTTTCCTTAATCCCTTCACTAAATATTACCCTGCTCACACTCCAACAGCTCATCAGGTCCCAAATATCATTCGTCTCCATTCACTCCTATCAAACATGCTCACGGATGCTTGCTGGAAGTCCAAGCCCCTCGCCCGCAAAACCCTTACCCCCTCCCTCTGTCTAGCCCTTGTGGCTTAGCGCTTCTTATTTATTATAATAATAATTACCCCCTCCCTCCAACCCTTTCAAGGACGACCCCTACCCCGCCTTCCTTCCCCTACAGATATATACATGCTCCATGTCATTCTACTTTTATCCATTCTCTCTAAATGACCAAACCACCTTGACAACCCCTCTTCAGCCCTCTGACTAATACTGTTATTAACTCCACACCTAATTTCCACACTCCGAATTTTCTGCATAATATTTACACCACACATTGCCCTTAGACAGGACATCTCCACTGCCTCCGCTCTGCAAGCTTCACACCCATATAACTGTTGGTACTACTATACTTTCATACATTCCCTTCTTTGCCTCCATAATTTTGTCTCCGCATATACCTCAATGCAACACACACCTTTTTTCCCCTCATTAATTCTATGATTAACCTCATCCTTCATAAATCCATTCGCTGATACATCAACTCCCAAATTTCTGAAACATTCACTTCTTCCATACTACTACTACCCAATTTGATATCCAATGTTTCTTTTTCTAAATAATTTGATACCCTCATCACCTTACTCTTTTTTACGTTTACTTTCAACTTTCTACCTTTACACACAACCAAATTCGTCCACTAACCTCTGCAATTTCTCTTTAGAATCGCCCATAAGCACAGTATCATAAGTAAAAAGTAACTGTCACTTCCCATTTTGTATTTGATTCCCCATAATTTAATCCCACCCCTGTCCCAAACACCCTAGCATTTACTTCTTTTACAACCCCATCTATAAATATATTAAACAACCATGGTGACATTACACATCCCTGTCTAAGACCTACTTTTACCAGGAAGTAGTCTCCCTCTCTTCTACACACCCTAATCTGAGCCTCACTGTCCTCATAAAAACTCGATAGCATTAGTAACTTCCCACCTATTCCATATACTTGCAACATCTGCCACATTGCTCCCCTATCCACTGTTTTATGTCTTTTCTAAATCCATAAATGCAATAAAAACTTCCCTACCTTTATCTAAATACTGTTCACATATATGCTTCAATGTAAACACCTGATCTACACATCCCCTACCCACTCTAAAACTTCCTTGCTCATCCGCAGTCATACATTCTGTCTTACCACTAATTCTTTCAATAATAACCCTACCGTACACTTTTCATGGTATACTTAGTAAACTTATTCCTCTATAATTTTTACAATCTCTCTTGTCCCCGTTCCCTTTATATAAAGGGACTGTACATGCTCTCCGCCAATCTTTGGGTACCTTCCCCTCTTTCATACATTTATTAAACAAAAATACCAACCACTGTAACACTATATACCCCCCCCTGCTTTTAACATTTCTGTCATGATCCCGTCAGTTCCAGCTGCTTTATCCCCTTTCATTCTACATAATGCCTCACGCACCTCCCCCACACTTACATCCTGCTCTTCTTCACTCCTAAAAAATGGTATACCTCCCTGGCCAGTGCATGAAATTACCACCTCCCTTTCTTCGCCGACATTTAAAAGTTCCTCAAAGTATTCTCGCCATCTACCCAATACCTCCATCTCCCCATCTACGAACTCTCCTACTCTGTTTTTGACTGACAAATCCATTTGTTCCCTAGGCTTTCTTAACTTGTTTAACTCACTCCAAAATGTTTTCTTTTCATTAAAATTTCTTGAGTGCCTCTCCCACTCTATCATCTGCTCTCCTTTTGTACTCTCACCACTGTCTTCACTTATTCTTTTACTCTCCATATACTCTACTCTTCTTATAACACTTCTGCTTTGTAAAAACCTCTCATAAGCTACCTTTTTCTCTTACCACACCCTTTACTTCATTCCACCAATCACTTTTCTTTCCTCCTGCACCCACCCTCCTATAACCACAAACTTCTGCCCCCACATTCTAATACTGCATTTTAAAACTATTCCAACCCTCTTCAACCCCCCCACTACTCATACCTGCACCAGCCCACTTTCTGCCAATAGTTGCTTATATCTCGTGCAAACTTACTTCCTCCCTTAGTTTATACACTTTCAACCTCCCTCTTACTTGTTGTTGCCATTTTCCTCTTGTCCCATCTACCTCTTACTCTAACTGTAGCTACAACTAGATAAATGATCCAATATATCAGTTACCCCTCTATAAACATGTACATCCTGAAGCCTACCCATCAACCTTTTACCCACCAATACATTAACAAACTACTTTCATTTCGTGCTATATTATACCTTGAAAATTTATTTATCCTCTTTTTCATAAAATATGTATTACTTATTACCAAACCTCTTTCTTCACATAGCTCAATTAAAGGCTCCCCATTTTCATTTACCCCTGGCACCCCAAATTTACCACTACTAACTCCCTCTACAACATTTTTACCCACTTTAGCATTTAAATCCCCAACCACAAGTACTCTCACACTTGGTTCAAAACTCCCCATGCATTCACTTAACATTTCCCAAAATCTCTCTCTCTCTACACTTCTCTCTTCTCAAGGTGCACATATGTTTACTATAACCCACTTTTCACATCCAACCTTTATTTTACTCTACTTAATTTCCCTTTAATTAATACATTTATACTCCCTCTTTTCCTGCCATAGTTTATCCTTCAACATTATTGCTACTACTACTATAGTTCTAACTCTATTTGAAACCCCTGACCTAATCCCATTCATTCCTCCCACTGAAACTCTCCCCACCCCCTTCAGCTTTGTTTCAAATTAAAGCCAGAACATCCAGCTTCTTCTCATTCATAACATCCACAATCATCTCTTTCTTATCATTCGCACAACATCCACGCACATTCAGACATCCCACTTTGAAAATTTTCTAATTATTCTTTTTAGTAATTATTACAGGAAAAGGGGTTAGTAGCCCATTGTTCCTGGCATTTTAGTTGACTTTTACAACACGCATGGCTTACGGAGGAAAGATTCTTATTCCACTTCCCCATGGATATAAAAGGAAAAGTAATAAGAAACAAGAACTATTAAGATTAAATCAAAGAACACTTCAGATGAGTGTGTATAGATAAACGTGTACATGTATGTGTAGTGTGACCTAAGTGTAAGTAGAAGTAGCAAGATATACCTGTAATCTTGCATATTTATGAGACAGACAAAAGACACCAACAATCCTACCATCATGTAAAACAATTACAGGCTTTCGTTTTACACTCACTTGGCAGAATGGTAGTACCTCTCTGGGTGGTTGCTGTCTACCAACCTACTACCTACTTCCATTTAAACGCAGAGGTAAAATAATCTTGCAAAATATCTGGACTGTACCTCCAATTATTATTATAACCAAAGTGCTAAACCTGTACCTCCATGAAAAGCAAGAATGCAATAACTTCTCGGGGGAAGTGCCTTGAGGTGAGGGGTCATCCAAGGTTAACTATACATACTAGTGCTTTCCCAGTATGATTCCCCTCAAGGAAGGTTCCTTGATGTTGGTGAGGGGCTCTTGATTTAGGGAATTGGATCTGTGCTCCAGTTCCCCGAATTAAGCCTGAATGCCTTCCACATCCCCCCCCCAGGCGCTGTATAATCCTCCGGGTTTAGCGCTTCCCCCTTGATTATAATAATAATCCCAGTATGATTACTTGAGAATGCCAAAAATGCTGGTGGCTTACTTGTTTTAATTAATTTGGTAAGTGTTAAACCTGTAAGATCATGTATTATTATTATAATCAAGGGGGAAGCGCTAAACCCGGAGGATTATACAGTTAAGATCATGTAGCACCTGGGAAATGGGAGGCATTCAAA